CCCCAATTCACAAATGGTAAAAATGAAAATACAACAGCAAAATCCCAATTAAATATCAGAGAAATTATTTTATATACACTTCTCTTAGGCTTTTAAGTTAATCTTATATTTTACACCAGTGTCATGACATTTTAAGTTTTCAGTTAGAATGAAAGTAAGTCAATTTCTACTATAATATTAAGGAAGTATAGATCTCTATCTAGAATGACTCCCAAACCAACGAAAAGATGACAAAACTCACTTGTGTTATTAATGATACAGAATGCTAAAAGTAATAGCCGTATTTATTATTTCTTAATAATCTTAATAATCAAAAACTATTAAAGCTAGAGAATGCCTCAGGCAAACATTAACAAGAAGGGATAAAGTGAGAAAAAATAAAAGAGAACAGTTGGGACAACACCCACACCATGTTATGAAATACATTGAAAAACAACGCATTAAATGGCTCACGTGGGCCAATAAGCCCCAGCTTATTTGCCCATGTGGGCCAATAAGAGCAGCCGGTAAGAAAAACTGTTCAAGTCAGTAATGAATTGGAGCATATGAATGAAACTTGGCATCTTCATGTGGTTTTTAGTGCAGAATCTAGTTCTGCTATCACTTTTTCAATGTCTTTATTACTTTGGATCTTAAAGACTGATATTTGCGTGAAATTTGTTGAAATTGCGTGACATCGTTTTTACAGCGACGCGATCACCCCTTCTAAAACTCAGTAAAGCGCTATCGGGAAAACCAGCGATGTAGTCATCGTTGACCTATTTAGTATTTAGTTATAGGCAGCCAATCACATGCCGCCTAGCGATTATGCGTCTCTTGCATGCCGGCATCTCGCGTTTGGAATGCGTGATCGAGTTTCCAGCTCTAGTGTTTTATCAATGGATGGGTGGTAATTTTAAAATGGTACGTAAAATCTACTAAACGCAGAGATCTGAAATTTTATAGCAATAAAGAAGACATGTGGGGCACTTGTGTGGTTGGCGATCAACCCGCAGCTCTGCTTAGTTTTCGAAGCTCCGCTTAGTTTTCGAAGCTCCGCTTAGTTTTCGAACCGCAGTGGAAATTCGCACAAACACTGCAATATCTCCGGTTCTAGTAATCGTTCGGGATTGTACGCTGGCATGTCGTTAATTTAACCTTTTTTCTGATTGGTTGCCGAGTTTAATTTATTTTCGTCCAGGAGTTTTCCCGTAACTATACTAAGAAGAGAGTCACTTCTGATTCCGAGCGGCCCAAAAATTACCCCTCGCGCGGAGGCCGATTTCCGGCCCAAGGCGCAGCGGGGGATTGGCATTGCTAAAACATTACAGATGTATTCTACAAATCATACTGAAAATTTCAGTGTATAATGTTAATATATTTGAATTTGTGACCCCAAAGACCTTTGAACTGCGCACAAGTCATGATCTCATTTTGCCTTCTCGAAAAAAATTCGTCCACAAGCCGAAAATAATATGTGTTGTAGCGAATGAGTTAAAGTAAGATTAGGGAAAGGTTTAGTTAACTCATTGGCTACGCCGAGCCGTGGGGGGTGGCGCGGCTAAAGTGCTGTCAGTACGCTAAGCCGCCCCCGGCGGCTCGAGAACCGATCTTCAATTTTAGCTTTTAGATTCTATTCCAATCCACATATCCATGTTAAAATAAAGGTCACATTGAAATGTTGACTTCCGGGTCAAGCATTTCCACAGAAAATCGGAAATTTAGATTCAGTTTTGAAACGCGATTTTGTAGTTTATTCGACTTTGTTTTATCGCGATGCCAAAATTATAGCCCGGACACCAGTCTTAGTAATTTTACTCAACAAAATTTATCATTATTTTGCCCACTAAAGAAATGTAGGACTCTTTTTAATAATATTGATACGATTGGACTCATATATATATGGCTAATGCACGGTTCTTGAGAAATCAATAATTTTGAGTGCTAGATCTAGGGCTAGATCTAGATCTAAATTGTCAAAATATTTTTTTCTCCTGAAAATCACTAATTTTTGATGAAATTACACAAAAAGTGCCACTCAAGACTCAAGACATTTATATAGGTTTATTCCAAATGCAATTCTGAATAATTCCATATAAGATACGAGCGGGGTTTTTTCTGTTTGTGATCATTTTTCAAGATTATAAAAAAAATTTTTTTTCAATATCGGATGTTATGTTCAAAATGTACAAATATTATGGAATGTAGATCTAGGTAAATAACTGCAAACTTTTAAATATTTTCCAGTTCTATATATTCATTAATGGTTATTAAATTTTGATGTATCATTTGACTAGATCTAGATTCTAGATCTAGAATCTAGAGGTGCAAACATATTTTTTTAGTTTCACCAAAGATTTATTAATTTTTTATTTTCAAATTTTATCCCCATCCAATCACAATTGTGTTGCATAATCGTCTCTTACAGAAACCAAAGTTGAAAAATACATAGGCCTACATTTATTTAACCGTTACAGAGATGTATTCTACACATACTGAAAATATTAATTTGAATTTGTGACCCCAAAGACCTTTTAACTGCCCACTAGTCATCATCTCATTCGCCCTCCTGAAAAAAAATTCGTCCACAAGCTGAAAATAATACGTAGTCGTAGTGAATGAGTTAAAAGGGTCCTTTGCCTTTAGTTGTTAAACCTTTTAAACTCAACCTAGGCTACCCTACAACTCTAGATTACACTCTAACTTCGGTAATCCTCACTTTATTAATTCTGAATCCAGAAATAATTATGATGATTTGATGAAGTAGTCTGCAGGCTACGTTCACGACGCCAAAGGTTTGGCAGGCTACGTTCACGGCACCCTGAATGCAGTTTGCTGGCGCTGTTGACGCTACCTTCGCGGCACTCAAGCTTCATTTAGACGGAGCGTCCACTCCCTCCCGTACGGCTCTTAGATTTAGATAGAAGTATGCTCACGGTCTTGATAATCGCTCGGCTGGACTGCGTCACTATATTGATCGATATCTTAATTTGGCCAAGACAAAGAGTACATAATCTCCAGCAGGACAAAATTTCAAATGAATCCATTCACTTTACAATATAGATCTAGATTCTATTATATAGAATCTAGGATGAATTTGGGGTTCACTCACAATATTGTCTTGACGTCTGATGGGTACCGTCTGCTGTCTGGCCTAGATCTATATCTATATCTAGATTCTAGTAGTAATAAGTAACTTAAATACACAGTGATCTCAATGATAATAAGACTAGATGTAGACTACATCGCAGTCATCTCATCGCAGATTCTAGAATCTAGACTTGTTTCTCGTGAAATGAATAACCTAGATCTAGATATTTGAAATACAAAGGACAGGCAATAAGGTGATACAATGATGAATTCACATTACCTTTCTATAGTATTGCCCCCAGTTGAATTAAAAATAACTTAGTGAATGAATAATATATTCAGTTCAATATATCGGTAATGGGTACTTTAAAGTGTTTATTGTGTTATAGGAGGACGCCATTTTGAATTAATAGTACCAGGGACGGGACTATAAATCCTCTGATAGTACTGGTACATTTCATACGAACAACTTTTTAACAAGTAGTTTCTGATACTTTACAGAAATATTGATCAAAAGATATTATCTAAATCAACTTAATAAAAACTAATAATACTAATTATGAATGAATTTATCTCTTATGAGCACATCAAAAGTAATAATCTATACTTACCCATTTTCCATAGGATGAGTTCGTTAGGTTCGAGCATGACCAATTTGGCATTAAAGTATTTGAAATTTTGGAAGGGTAAAGTAAAAATTGTAAAGGAAAAAAATGCCTGGGGCTTAACTAGCCTCTGTACAAACTGTAACAGGCTCAGGCCAAAGTTCTTCCATTACAAATTTTAGCAGGCTGCCCCGAAATTCTCTTATGAATCCTAAGAGATCGCGTCTTTTCAATTAGCCTAAGCAAGAAATTTGCTAAGTTTTTACATCGACAAAAAAAAAGAAAAAAAAAGAAAAAAAAAAAGAAAATGAGAGATCGATCTAGATTCTAGATAGATCTACCCTGAATTTAAATTTTAACTACACTAAAATCAAAGAATCGGAATCTCTTTCCAATATTTAACAACGAACCACTTAGGCCTAGTTCGTGGTAACAACAGAGTAAAGGTGATTTCCGTTAATGTATGCAAGAGTTGTTTTATTGTCAAATACCAGACATGGGATGTCAATTCCCCGCCTCCCCCCCTCAAGAAATTTGAAAATCAGCTAGGCTACGAAAAGTACAATAATATACAAGTAATTGAAATTGAATTTCTCTCGGGACACCCCCCCCCCACCCCCACGATAAAACGACACATCATATAATATTTACAACTTCTCTTCTCGTCTCTCTCCCTCTCTCTCTCTCTCTCTCTCTCTCTGTCTGTCTTTCTCTCTCTCTCTCTCTCTCTCTCTCTCTCTCTCTCTCTCTCTCTCTCTCTCTCTCTCTCTCTCTCTCACACACACACACACACACACACACACACACACACACACACACGCACACACAAAACACACACAGATACACAGACGAGAAATCGAAGCTTTGTCAGCAAATATCGAGGTGCAAATATATAGATAAAAAAGACCACCACGTACGGTAGCAGAACCTGATCGAATTTTTAAAAAAAATTCTTTGTAATTTCCAGATGATGAGTCGTAAATATACAAGTCGGCTGCGGGCTAGGCCCACAATAAGTTACCACGCCTCTAGTGGGCCAATGTATAAACGCAAGAATACAACTCTGACGCTGGAAGTGTTCTCCTTGCGCTGGAACCGGTAATAACCAAGGAGTTTAGAACTACTTTTAATCTCCTTGGTAATAACAGAATGAATAACAGTTCTAAAACAGATCTAGCAACCCCGCGACCCCACAATAAAAACGCTCCCTAATTTTAAAAAAATTGGTTTCGCTTTTTCCTGCTCATTTTCTCTCTACAGCTTTGTCATTCTAAATTAATGAGCATCGCGAATCCCTTTCATACATTGAATCAATCTAGATTCTATATTCACTTCAAAATGAGCCGGGAAGATTTCAAAGGGAAAGGAGGCGAGTAAGCGAATCGAATAGCCTAGGCCTAGGTCAAATCAATGATAGTAAATAACTATCTTTGGTCAAATGCGGAAATCGAGTTTTGTGTTGTGCCTCGTTTGAGTTTGTGCTGCTCCGAACTTTGACCTAAAGGAGTTGGGGTCAAGTACGTGCCACGATAGGGCTTAACAGATGACGTAGAGCGCAGTTACTCATTGGATGTGGTTTAGTAAACAAGCGTGAGCCCTCGCGAGAGCTGTTATATTGCCAAATACCAGACCATTGCATTTTTGTTCAGAAGTGTAGAGCTTCCATCTTTTAGCATAATGTCAGCCCCAGATGAAGGCGCCAATCCAGAACTGAAAGGTGGACACGCACCTGCAGGTTTGTTCTGAAAACACAATCCTGGTTGCTCGCAACAACGTTCAGTATGTTTCACTTTCACACCGTCACCTGCCCAGCTGAGAAGTTGGTCTGTTGGGTGGTATCTCGACTCTAGACTAAGATATAGCGGTGATCTTGTTCGTTTAAGTCCACGATCCATTTGTTTACATCCAGAGAAGAAATCCAGAAGTCTTGAAGACCAAATACTATTTGAATTCCTTCGATTTGAATTAGGCTACACAAAGAGCAGGGATGCAACCCAACTGCAAAACATAAAATTAGGATAAAATTTTGAGACAGCGACACCGCCTTGCCTCCACATTTCATTGTAAGCTTGTCGATTTCATCCTCTGGCTGTCCAGACCTCTCCCCGTGCTCCATGTGAGTCTTAAAAAATACTCACCCCGTCTCTTGAATCGTGTTTCTCAGGCGAACGTTAAAGAGTGGTGTTGAGGAAAACTTGTCAACTTTTTATTGTTTTAGGCTTAGGTGTATAAACTCAGCAAAGTAACTTGCGATGAGGGATTTTGCAAAGGAAGTGGTTATTCTTACCCGGGGTGACAATAACCCATGTATTGCCATTCCCCTCGTTTTACTGGAAATGCCCCCAGAGGGATCAGGGCTGAGGTTACCACCTAGGGGGAGGGAGGGTCTGGGCTTATGCTTGACAGGATAGTGTTTGTGTCCGAATAGTCACAGTCACGGTTGTCAGTTTGGAGCCAAATCCCAGAAATTTGGCTCTTTTGGATCGCATCTGACCTGATGAATTTCCAAGTAATGCCAATGAAAATTAAATTTTTCGCTTTATTTAGCCCTTAAATTATTTGGTACCTAAAAAAGAATTTTCAATTCCAAAAATTATTCTTTTCTTTAATTTTAAGAATCGCTTGATGAATAAAGTTATTGGGTTGTAAAGGTCAGCAAAATATGGATGACCCACATATAGGATCAAACACTCCTAAACAGTGGACCACACAGTAGCAGATTCTGTAAGATAATCGACGATGTATCTCAGTAATTAATCAGAGTGTTAGAGAAAGAAACTTGGCTACCCGATGTGTTTTTGGGTGGAAAAATCATATCTGCCGTCAGATTTACTAACCATGTCGTAGTTAATTTGTTATAATATAGCAATGCCAATGAAAATTTAATTTTTCACTTGTTTAGCCCATTTTTATTTGGTAACTAAGAAAGAATTTTCAATTCTAAGAATTATGCTTCTTGAATTTTAAGAATCAGTTCATAAATAAAAAAGTTATGGGGTTGTAAAGGTCGGCAAAATATGGATGACCCACATAATATAGGAAAACACTCCTAAAAAGTGGACCACGCAGTAGCAGATTCTGTAAGAAAATCGACGATATCTCGGTAACTAATCGGAGTGTTAGAGAGAAACTTGGCTACCCGATGTGTTTTTGGGTGTAGAAATCATTTCTGCAGTCAGATTTACTACCCATTTCGTAGTTATTTTGTTATAATTAAAATTTTGGTGTACATATTTGATTTTGCGAAAAAGGGGTGTCGGGATGAGTCCATTTTTATTTAATAGCATCGTATCACAACATGGGATCTTTAAGAATATATGTCGGCAGCGTGACTAAATAATTGCAAAGCTTTTTATGATGACTTTAGACCATGCCTACCGTAAAAGATAAGTTAATTCAATCTAGCATGCCGTACAATTAAAAATTCTTTTTCCCCGTTGAGACGCGAACACCCCGAGACGAGATAACCTCGCCTCGGAATACCCCCATTGCCATGTTACAGGGGAACAGAGAGAAAAACAACCGGATGCGCGCGCCCGCCATTGCCCTATTTCAAGTGACCAATGAATGGGCCCGGAATAGTCATGCGGGGATTTGTAGGTCACATACATTTGCCGTGAGAGTGAGGGGAAAATGGCCGGTCTCCATGCGAAGCTGCTTTGGATAGGGGGGTAGTCGTGCATATGATCGGGTCTAAACAACTACTTGACACAGAACGTTCAAATTTGAGCACACTATAGAGGATAGATAGATCTATTACCATCTCGGCGTTGAATTTCAAACTCCTTATAGTTTTCGGTGTACCCGATACGAATGTGTTCCCGACACCAAAAGTATCTATATAGGTTAATTTATGTGTAAGAACTTCAACGTCCACTTAGTTTGACCTATTTTCTGATTGGTTGCCGAGTTTCATTCGGATTGGTTCGAAAAAAGAGCAGACCAAGGTTGACAAAGTTAGTCACCTACGCTTCGGCCGGGTCTGCAAAATCACCCACAAACGGGGACCAAATTTTCGCCGCGCGGGAAAGCCCGATTGGCATTGCTATATTATATAATTAAAATTTTTGTGTACAATTACGATTTTGGGATAAAGGGGTGTCGGGATGAGTCCGTTTTATTTATAGCATCGTATCCCAACATGGGATCTTTAAGAATATGTTGGCAGCGTGATTAAAGAATGGCAAAACTTTCTTTGATGACTTTAGACCATGCCAACTATAAAATATAATTTAATTCTATCGAGCATACCATTCAAATAAAACCCCTTTTTTCCTTTGAGACGCGAACCCCCCGAAGCGAGATAAGCTGGCTTCGGAATGCCCCCTTTGCGATGTTACTGGGGAACAGAGAGAAAAACAACCGGATGCGTGCGCCCGCCATAGCCCTATTTCAAGTGACCAATGAACGGGCTCGGAATAGTCATGCAGGGATTTGTAGGTCACACTCATTTTCATAGGGAGTGAGGGGAAAATGGCTGGTCTCCGTGCGAAGCCGCTTTGGACAGGGGGATAGTCGTGCATTTATGATAAATTCTGCACAGGACTACTTGACACAGAAGGTTCAAATTTGAACACACTATAGAGGAAAGATGGATATCTTATAATTATCTCTGCGTCGAATATTGAACTCCTTATAGTTTTCGGTGTGCCCGATACGAAAGTGTTTCCGACACCAAAAGTATAGGTTAATTTATGAGTACGAATTTGACTTCCACATATTAGTTTTCCCTATTTTCTAATTGGTTGCCAAGTTGCATTCACATTGGTCCAGAAATAGGGCAAAATGAGCTCGAGAAAGTTAGTCACTATCGTTCCGACCTGGTCCGAAAATTCACCCGCAAACGGGGACCAAATTTTCGCCTCGCGCAGAAGCCCGATTGGCATTGCTAAATTTCATTTGGCTCTCTGGCTCTATTTTTGGCTCCAAACTCCAAGATTTAATGCCCTCGCCCATTTGGTCTGAATGATTTTAATTTACAACCCTTCCAGAGCATTAGTCTCTTGTTCGTGTCTCATTACGTTCATGATCATACACGCTCTCTGGTCCTTGAACCATAATTTATTGTGTGCAGGCAGAGAGGCCTGCCATTGTTTAGTGTGTAAACAGCGAATGGTCCTGCCGGCGGCCGGTCCCACATCCCGCGCACTAGCATCGGTAGTGAGACATTATTTACTGAAGAGGCGAAAAATGTTTTTACCTTATTATTATTCTATTTGTTGTTCATTAAAGATATATTTTAGCAAAGATCTGGTTAAGATGATCATATATTATATCTGTTTCAAATAGTAATTTTCCATATTCCATAGATCCCAACTTTAATTCTGTAAGAGGTGTCCTTCATCTCATTGGATGGAACGCTTGAAGCAGGCTGAACTATTAGATTGCTAACATTTAAAAAGTATATAGACTACTCCACTGTCAGTGTTTAGAGGTGGGGGTGAGAATAGCAGGTCATGAGCTATTCTCACCTGGGGTGAAAATATAGGTGGCCTTTTGCTAAAGTGCCTCTTTGCTCCTCTTGAGACTGTGCCACGTACTTTCTATATTATTGGTGTGAGCACCAGTCTCGGGGTCCTTGAAGTGTTTGCTGTGGTTGACCTTTTGATGGGTGTATAGCCACAGTGTCCTAACCTATCATAAGCCTTCCAACAATCTGAAATGATAACTGAGCCTTTCCTAAAGTACTTTTCTATAATAGGGATTAAAGTGTCTGCTGACCTATATATTTTCTACCTCTACAAAAAAAACACACCATCAGCATAGGCCTAATTATACGTGAAGACAGACAGAAAGACACACCAAGTGATACATTCTTATAAATCTGGTCGACGGTACTCCGAGGGAGGGGGTGGTGGTGTATTTATTTGCTAAAAAGGCCTAGTATGTTTGTACTGATGCAACAGTGACCTATTGTCTTTCGTCGCCCATGCCAAATTTGCCCAATGGCGGAGACAGGGAACAACGCCAAACGAGCTGTCATCCTTGACCGATCGACCATTCATCGTTCTCCCTTACACTGAGCTCTGGCTCGGAGCTCGCCTGTGTTGTAACGGAAAACGATGAACTCTCAATTACGCAACAACGGATAAGGATATGACAAAAATTTTTTACACCTTCAGATGCAGAATTAAATACTCTATGAAATTTTATTGTTTTTTTTTAATCGAAAAATTTTGACCGTTTGTCGTTTTCCCTTACGACGGCAGAAATGCTGTCCATCTCTCTCTTTGTTTGGCGTGAGGGGCAGTCTCACCAAATATTTGGTGTTCTAGGCTCGCCTTATGCAAGCTGTGCAGGTTGTAGTAAAATTTTCCCCTTGTCAAGCTTTACATTTTGGCATGTTTTGAGGATTGAAGCGTGCGTTTAGAGGGAGTGACCATGCGTTTGTATGTCAAAAGACACGTCAGATGACGAAAGCTTGCGTTTGAGCTGAGTGTGCTTTTATATGGCGTGCTTTTAAGTGGAGACTACTGTATCTGTACTCTACAGACTTAATGTACTGTACCTCTGTTTGGTGAACAAATTAAAAGCAATTCTATTTTTGTCCTCAGTGAAAGTAGGTGGAATGCGGGTAGTTCAGCACAAGAAGGAAGGTGAAAAGCAAGAGCCGACACAAATGACTGCTGAAGAGGAAGCGGAGTTTGGTGCTAGGTAAGTTCGTACATAACGAATGACACGTCTAGATTTGAGTTTTGATCAGATTATGTTGACAGTTTTTGTGTTTTCCATCTTCCATTGCTTAGGAAGGGATCAGTAATTGGGATGTCTCGTGAGAAAATATATAATTTTTTTTTAAATGAATCAAACAAACCTGTTTTTCAGTTGCCATTTGGTGTAGTCTGATAGGCTTTATTTCCACAAGATCCTAGTCAATTTTTTAATTTCAATGTATGCATATTAGATTAAAAAAGGGATGCTTTCCTTAACTGTTTTTTTTTTTCTTTCTTTTTCTCTTACAGTCCTCCTAAGACGGACAAGCACCACCAGTCAATGCTTGTGTCAGGGGCTGTGACCAAGGTAAAAGTTAATCCTCTTTGCAGAATATATGAGCAAAAAAAAAAAGGCTTGCAGAATACATTATAATATAAAATATATGAGCAATTGCCAAAATGTGACTCTCTTGAGACTCAATGGTGCCAAAAATATTTTCTTATCACAGATTGACATATTTAGTGTTCATTTTCCTGAAGTATCAGAGCAAGGAGATGTAGGGTTATGGAGATATGGGTCTATTGGTTTGGCAACCACTGTATTTCATGTATGTAACAGTGATGACAAAAACAGATTAGCAGCAAGGCAAATTATAGACTTGAAATTCTATTTGTTTAGTAAATAAAGACTTTATACACTATGAACTCTGTTCATAATGGTAATATAAATGACAAGCATTGTAACAATGATGCAGAGCACAGAACATATTATCATTGTTATGTACAAGAAAGGATACACATTGGATATTACAATTGACAACACATCACTACAGTGAAAGGCTGTACAAATACAGTTATCGAAGCCTCAGTACCAGAAAAACACATGTGCCAAACAATTTTAAATTAATATGAGACAAAAGCACAAAATCAATGGGGCCGACAGTGATGACAAACATGACTTGTACATAACAATGATGACACAATCTACTGGAAAAGACAAGTCATGCCTCCAGAGAGAAATGTGCACTTAAAGAGTTAAAAAAACCCAACCCAGCAGAGGTTTCTTTTGCTTTGAAACAGATATGTGGTTGTATCGAAGACGGTGGACAATCACAATTATGTTATTAATTATGACAAACAGTACTCGTACATAACAGTGAGGACAAAACAAACTGGAAAAAGGTAAAATCATGCCTACAGAAAACAAATATGTGCACTATGAGATGCACAGATCAGTAAGGGCGTATTTTTGTTCTAAATGAATCATGCATGTATGAAATATATGTTGAAAAACTTATTGATATTAGCAATGATGACAAACATTACTTGTACATAAACAATGATGGTGGGTGGTTGGCAGGTGCTCTGGTGTGGTTTGCTTCTTCTTTCCTATTGAACATCTGTCGTCCTTATCTCCCCTTCTTCTTTTTTATGTTTGTTACTCTCTTGTAACACCTCTAATCTTCTGGCGCTCATATGACCTTATGCAGTTGCGAGTGCCGTAAAACCTCTACTAAAACTAAACTAAACTAAACAATGATGATACAATGAACAATGTATTGGAAAAAGGCATTCATGCCAACAAAGAACAAATGTGTACTTTTGAGTTAAACAGATAAACAAGGACATGTTTGTTTTTATTTCTTTGAGTATTGAGAAGCACATGACTTTAAAAATGCTTGCTCTTAGGACAATGTAATTTCTAGCACGTCAGTCAGTCTTGTACGGCTGCATGGCGACACCCCAAGCGTCCTCACTAAGCACAAAAGCTAAATCTAAAACCTCAGAAATGGTCCGTCTCTTGAAGTTCGTTCACACATCACACTCTTGTTCCAGGAATCCAATGTAGACACCCTAATTTCACTAAAATATTCAACAGGGTAGCATAAAAACACACACAACAGTGTTGTATGTCACATACAACGGTAGATTCTTGTGCGCCACCGAACGCTGACGACAATGACTACTTTTGTTTTTCTCTTTTCGCCGTTGCTCGGGCTGTTCTGGGGAAGTGGGTAAGGGGAAGTCACTCAAGAAAACATTTATGTCCGGGCACTGTTGATGATTCGTTCAAAACAAAAGTGGGCCAAAATTCGGATTTCCGGTACGTCGCGAAATGACGACAATCACGGCGAATGTTAAACAGCCGACCAAAATCGTAGATCTAAGCACCCGGTGTTCCTTTCGCGCTTCACAGCTTTTGAAGTATTGAATAAACGACGAAAAGCAAAAAGATTGCACTCTTTCCGGGCGTATCGCCGATATATCGGCGCGAGTCCACACCCCTTGTCTAAGTTCTCTGATTCTGATTCACTAGCGCCTTGATATCCCTAATTCCTCAGAAAATGTCTGTCTTGACTTTCAATGTTCTTGATGTAAAATGGTTGATACCGGTCAATATCTGTGTTTCTTTTAGATTTGGTACAAGGAATGTGTGGAAAATATTGACTCAAATGTCTGTTAGACTTTCCTGCTATTGTGTTTGAGCTGGAAATGCTTAAGTAGTTTTGTTATCCAGACTAGCATCTGCGTTTGTTGCCATTTTTTTGTCCAAAAGCTGCCATTAATTTTCAAGCTTTCAACTCTCTGTGACGACGTATATAGCAATATGTTGATGGTGTTAACTTAATCTAAAGCACCAGAATTTCAATATGTTCTCTTTTAAGCATCCAGAATATTATTTGTAGCCACATATAGTATAAACACGTGAAGAATAAAGGTTTCACAACAGAATGAAATCAAAATTAGAACAGCTCATAAACATGCAACCACAAAAATTAACAAATAAGGGCGTGTGTTCACATTATATTCGAAGAATAGATTGGCTGCGTTAACCCTAAACGTGTATAAATTCAAGAAAAAGTACAGGATATTACATGTAAATTATGGAATCACACACAATGGGCCTGCCGGTGTCAGTATTCGGTTTTGGTGGAGACACGCTCTGACATAACACATTTATATTTTTTTAAATGTAGGAACATCAAATTAAATGACATCACGCTATATAAACACAAAAAAATATGAAAAACCCAACATATCAGAACAATTTTTAAAAATGAATTAACACACCAACAAATGAAAACACAACAAAGAGAAAAACAAAAGACAAACAGCGATACAGATAGTATTTACTGTTCTTATATTCTTCGCATGAAAATAACTACTTATGAACACCTTAATTATCAAAATACATGTACATGTCTAATATGCTACGAAGTGTTGAAAAAAGCAAAAATCGTGATGGCGATTCGCGGACCAAAAAATGCCAAAAATCGCGGCAGCGACAAACGCTGGTGCAAGTCGAGAGACAGCATGATTGACTTTGAACCTGGAAACCACGTAATGAAAGAGCCATCAGCTTGAAACGGAAAAAGTTCTGTCTGCTTCATTAGTACAAAGATTTTTGGTCTGCTTATGTTTTCCTTAAAGTGCGGGAAATTTCAAATGTTAGATAGGCAGTTTTGGTCAATTTTTGTTCAATGAGGTAGTTTATGTGTAAATGAGAAAATAGACGAATGATTTCTTTACAACTTTTGGCCTTGTTGAACTGCCATCTGCTCTCCATGAAGCAGCATGGCATGAAGAGATAAGTAATATCAAGTTACTTCTCCTACTTTGGCCTTCCTTTGTTTGTGCACATTAAAACAGCTTTTCACAACCTTTGGGGATGTGTCTCAGGGAATTATTCATAAGCTGGTGGTGTGAGCAAAAGTAGATAAAAATGTTTTTCTTTTGGAAAAATTACTTGCTGTCAGTGTGCAAAAGTTCAGTTGTATTCTGAAATAAAACGCTTGGTTGTGCTGGTTTTAACAATGGTTTCTAAGGCATTGTCTCATTGATGATTAGTCCTCCACATTTGACTTCATTTGAATTATGATAAATATCAACCTGCCCATTCAAATAACCTTAGAGTGCATTAAAGCGTAGCCAACAAGCCATCAGAATTTTCACAGCTGGTACGTACATTGTGGGACAATGTTATCAAGTTCAGCTAAGATGTTTATTTCTTTTTGTCATTTATTTTGTTCCTATTTTGCTACAGGGAGACAAGGACTTCACTACTCAGGCTGTGAAGAGCATCCACGAGAAGCCAGTTCCAACTCATGACCCCAAGCCGCGCCCAAACCAGAACACCCACCAGATTCATCAGCCGAGATAGAGAGCTTCCTCCATAATTCCGTACTGGGCGTGACTCGGCTCTACGACAATGCTGACTTGAGATGTATGGGAATGAAGAAATCATATGAGAAACGATTATGTTTGTATGGTGATTTGGAAATACTGTTGTCTTTAGAACCATTTATTGCTGAGGATGGATCAGTTCCAAGTAAATTTTGAAATATATGCTTATGGCAGACCAGTGGTTTTGTATTGGTTATAAAGCAGCTTTTGGAAGCATGATCAGTAGAGGACAACAGTTTGAAAAGCTTTCTTATCAAGTCAAAAATATTGTCTATACGAGCTGCATAGGAAATGATATTTGACAAGTAGAAGTTCAAGGTTGAAATTTTAAATGCTGAAGGAATCAAGTGCTTAGTCATCACTGAAGAGCTTAACTTCAGTACTTTGATGGTGATGGGAACTTTTTCATAACATAACATGTTGGTTGTTTCATCAAATCATATCACAAAAGTTTCTGCTTCTGGAAGGAATTTCAAATTATTTCATGTTTTGACTTTAACTGTAGAACCTGACTAACTAGAACACCTTTTGTTATGACAAATGTGACGAGGATTAGATTTTTTCCCAAAAGTTGGCACATTACCTGTACCTGCACTTCCTCCATTTTTGAGTGCCTTTCAATTTTGTACTTCATGGGCATCAGATTTGTTAAAGTTACTCATGGTTGAAGAAAGTCATTTGGAATATATCTATGTACTCATTTGTTGCACCTATAGAAGTTTGTGTTCAAATAAATCCTTACTAATTGATCATGAGATCCAGTATTTCCTCATTTTAAAAAAATGTTAAATGTGGGTGTGTGTCACTGCTTTGATAAAGGAGAGATATGCCATGTTGTACTGTAGCAGGATAATAAAGAGAAATAGTTTTGTTTGTTCTCTACATTTTGAAAATAGCAATTGAACTTACAGGGATTCAGCCTTTTTTTTGGGTATAGGACCACTATAGAAGTTTATGATGAGACTACGGGTATCTTTTAGAAGTATGGTGGTACTCTTTAGTCAAACTTTTTGTCCGAGTGATCTTCATCCACTTACGGTGCATGGTTTTAAAAGTTTTTCGGAACTCCCACCAATGTAAGAAACATTTTAACTTGACAAGATCTACAAGAAGAATTACTGGCTTTATTTTTTTCTGTCTTTCTGTTGCTACTACTGCCAGCAGGATATTAATATTGGTTACCATTTTTGTGTCTGTGCCTGAACTAGTCCTGTGTTTATTGTGTCATGACTTTAGCTATGCCAAAATTATGTTGCTGCTACATTGAACAGTGTAATTTACAGTGAATAGCGCCATTAGGGTGATATTTTATGGTTTGATCTTATTCATTCATTTTATTTCCCAGCTGCGTCGTTGAATGTGCTTTTTCAGTGAGACAAAAATGAAAATGTTGTTTGGAATTTTTATAAGTTTGTGGAAGACAGTGAAAGAAATAGTCTTTTACAGAAAGGTTAATGTTTTTTAGATTTTACGTTATTTTGTTTGTTGTTTGTGTAGCATTCCTCTTCGCATGTGTCATTTTAGCCTCATTTTCTTTTGATGAGCATTGTAGGCCTACTCAGCAATTCACTGCAGTGGTAGTGACAGATTTTGTGCATTTATTTGCTTTGTGATTTATTTTATGTTGTTTCACTTTTCCTATTTTGACAACACTAGCCAATTTTAGGCATTTCAATGTCTCATATTTCCAAACAACCCTCTTTTACGCAAAGCATTCTCTTCTGCCCTTTGGATTCTTTATTGCGTTTGATCTTTTGTAAGAGACCATTTAGAGGCTTTACCAAAATTTACTCTTCTCTAAATGAGAATATATTATGTAACTATGGAAAATTCTCGTGAATTATTTTTCTGCAATACACTCATGGAAATAACTGAATATTACGATTCTTTTATACGTTTTACTTGTTTGTTGGGGTGGTCATGCATGAAGCACAGAAACATTTTGACCTCTGATGGGTTTACTTTTGAACAAACTTTGAAGTTGTCTGCCTTCAGGCTTCATGATTTGTTTGTCATACACAGAAGTGCATGGTGTCCTCCCATCAGCTCAAATTGTGCTCAGCAAATGCATTTTTTTACCTCAGTGCATAGCTTTCCGATGAGTCTGTTCATTTAATTAATATAGACCTGTGATGATCATAAGAGGTAAGATCACGTTCATAATTCATTTAACAAGCCTATGTCATAGAGTTGCTTATGAACTTGACTGTTTTGAATGGTTTCTAGTGTGAATCTAAAGGGGGTGGGGAAGAGAGTTGTGGATCTGTTTTCATTTTCACACGGAATACAGTGGAACCTGTCCATAACTAATACTCAAGATCACAGAGAAAAATGACTGTGTTACAATACTGGTGGCCACTTTAGACAGGGTCGAGTTATGATCATTTACTACTAGACCACTTGACAAAGTCGACAGATAGTTTAAAATTTGAAATCTTAACTTTATTTTTCCATTTTATTCACATCAAAATTATTAATGTCTATCCTGAGTGCTTGTTGGCATTGAATACACACAGTCAGTCTGAGATTGGGTTTGCAGAAAACATGTTGCAACCGACCGCTTTGACTTTGAGCTGGTTTTGAGGAAAAGCTTTTGCTGAAATGATTGAGGCAGCGTTAGACAGGAATCACCGTGGACAGGCTAAAATATAGGAAAAAAACGTTAGTTCAGGTGACCACTCTGGACAGGTGACCACTAAGGGAGGTTTGTCTGTATTTTCACATGGACTTGATTGCCCTTGCCTGGCATGTCAAAACATCTTGTTCTTCTTTTCCATTGCCCCCCCCCCCCCCCCCCCTGTTTTTCAGTCCTGGAGTAGTTAAGAACCTTGCATCTTAAGAGATTAAGAGATGAAAAGCAAAAGTGCTGTATGCACCTACAGCTGAAAGGTGAAGAGAAGCAAATATATATGCTGAGAGTACCGTGGCTTTGTTGATGAAGTAAGAAATAATCCTATATGAAATTGAAAAAGTACTGGCATCTGTGGTGTTGCATTCAGGCGCTTTGCTGTTGATGGTTGTGTTTAGGAGACCTGAGTTTGATTCCTGATTGCGAAAGAAATTTTTATTGAGTATCTCGGTCTTTTTACTGGGATGTTACATTCCTCTTTAACCATAACTGGCCCTGACAGGAATGGTTGGAAACTCGTCCCCTGGTGTAAAAACCCTAACATTGTCATTAAAAAAAGAAAATTAATTAAATTCAAAGAAATGAGTGGAGTTCAACTGTCAGGAGTACACTTTATACATGTAGTAAAGACATATTAGGGATGCAGGGCGACACTGCACTGTGATAAAAAGATTGGCCATAATAGTGAGGCCCCAAACACAGTGCACGCTTCTCCGACGCTTCTTTTTCGGTTGCGACGTGTTTCTCCGAAAAAGTTGCATCGCTAAATTTTATTAACGAAGGATTGAATGCACGGCGCTAGCCTACAGTGGGCGCGGAGCAGACGCAGCGCTGGACGGAGCAGAAAAAGTTCAGCGTGTGCACTTGCTGCCGAAATAAAATTTCGAGCGTCTGCTGCGCGGCTAAACTGTTGAGGCGTGATTGTGCAGTGCGTGTAGTCTGTGGTCATAGTGAATTGTTGCATTTTGACTACAATGGAGTCGGAGGCATTAATGATTAATACACGCAGTTGAAAAAAGAAGATGTCTTTATGACAAAGCAGATCAAAACTACTGCAACAGGGCCATGATATTGGCCGGATGGAAGAAAGTAGCCAACGAAGTTGGATGCAAAAGTAAGAACTTTCTTTCTTTCTTTCTTTTTTTCTGTCTGTCTGTCATTCTGTCTGTCTGTCTGTCTGTCTGTCTGTCTGTCTGTCTGCCTGTCTGTCTGTTTGTCCGAACGTATGTACACTGTACAACATGTATTCTTGTTTCAAGCTATAGACTATAGGCCTACTTTAGCTTATAAAAAGAGATGCGATGATAACCCTTTTTAAACAAGAGTGTGGACTGATCAGACGTAAAAGCATTTGCTGTTTTGCCATGGCAATACACCCTGCGGTGACGAGAAATATCCCATGAAAGCATTTTTCATTTCCATTCCACTTTTGGTGGCTCTGCCCCTTATAACTTCTAGTTCTAGTCTGTCGAACGTTGGTAGGCCTGCTCGTGGCTCAACCACGTCATCCTCAATGTGCCGTTGCACCGATCTTCCAGGTTCTTGCATGATAATGAAATTGTGGAGCACTGTGTGTGATGGCATTGACTGCATCTGTAGCCGACTCTGGCTGTTCATCCATTTGGCGCAGGAGTATAAACCACATTTGGGGAATCCTACCAAAAGAGCATTGAACTGAATTCCTCGCACGTGATAGGCGATAATTGAAAAGTTCTTTCTCAGGAGATAATTGTCTGTTTGGAAATGGTTTCATCAAATTTCCTCTCAATGGAAATGCATCATCTGCTACGAATGCAAATGGGAGGGTTGTGTCACTGTCTGTATCCTGTGGTAAATCCAGTTTGTCAGGAAGCAGTCTTTTTCCAAATTGAAACGCTCTTTTGCTGACAGGGGTTTCCGGAAATTGGTAGTTCGCTTCTCTATGTAGGTTCCAATTTTGTCCAACAAGAGCTGAAATGTGGAGGGTCTCATCCGGATGTATTTCAGGCATTTTTCTTCGTCTGAAAGGATTTCTGTGTGTCTCCCTCTTTTTATTTATTTTATGTACCCAATATCTACGGCGGGATCGTCTCCTGTTATGGAGCCATGAAAGCATGAACAATTGAAGAAACTCTTTAGCCATCCTCATTGACTGACTCGTGGCCGAATGAACCAACTGAACCGAAAGACGCAGCCACTGTGTTTGCTTGAAAAGAAGTCGGAACAGACGCGAGTAACTTTAAAGTGCATCGCTGCAGCTGCGGCTACTGTGTCTGCGCACTAAGAAGGCCTGTATGCTTCTGTCGGTTGTTGGAGTGCTGAAATTCCATTCCTAAGTTTTTAGAAGAGAAACAGAAGGATAAAAAGGGATTCTCTGTCTGGCCGTTTGCTGAATCAGCAGACGTTACGTCTTGAAATGACTGGTAGGCCAACTGTGTTTTGTATGGCGTTAAGTTTCAACAATAAATGACAGCATGTTCTCACTAGAACTGTCGGATGGACGACTGATTACAGCTGACTGGCCAGAAGCACAAAATGTCTCTACATTAACATTAATTATCAGTTTGGCTTCCGAAAGAGAAGAGGATGCACGGATACCGTATTTGCTTTACGACAGATGTGCGAGAAAACAATCGAACACAACAAAGAATCCAACATCGTCTTTATAGACCGGGAGAAGGCTTTTGACAGAGTAAACCACGCAAAACTTTGGAAGACACTCGAAAATTATGATGTCAGAGGACAATTATTAGATAATGTCAGAGCTCTATATACCAAGAGCAGAAGCTCAGTAAGAACGAAGGAAGGAAATACAGACTGGTTCAAAGTAAGATCTAGTGTACGACAGGGATGCATTCTATCTGCCCTCCTGTTTATAATATATATGGACACAATAACGCAAGAAGTAAACCAAAGCCCAGAAAGCCTAAACGAATTTCTATTCGCAGACGACCAATGTCTAATTTATCATGACCAACAAAGCCTCCAAAAATCACACTACCGAACTCCACAACACCAGTGAGAGATTCAACATGAAAATAAGCACATCAAAAACAGAAGTTATGAAAGGGAGCCGAAACCATAGTCCCCTGAACATCCATGTCAATAGTAAACAACTGAAACAGGTGAAAGAGTTTAAATATTTTGGCAGCACTTTTTCTGAAAACGGGTCCATAGACAGAGAAATATAAATGCGAACTCAAAAAGCCAATGCTGTCACCTACCAGCTCGCACCCCTTCTATCTCATCATGGACACAAAGAGACAGCTTATCACCTCAATATTCATACCAACATTATGTTATCAGTGCCAGACCTGGACCTTAAACAAAACCCATGAAAGCAAAATCACCGCATGCGAAATGAAATGTCTCCGCAAAACCCTTAATGTAACACCACAAGACGAGACAGGCAGAGAAATGAAGAAGTAAGAGCAGCTATCGGCACTGAGTTCTGCCTGCGTTACATAGAAAGATAGAGGATAAAATGGTTTGGCCACCTGTTACGCATGTCACCTGACCAGCCAGCCTCGAGAGCCTACAACACCAAGCACTCAGGCTATAAAGTAAGGAAGAGGAAGGCCACGCAAAAGGTGGGTCGGGGGTGTCAAGGAAACCCTAAGAAAACATAACATCACAACTGAAAGAGCTGCGGAGCTGGCCTACCATAGAAAACTGCATCTGTAAATTTTTGTTGCCCGACAGTTATTTTTGTTTTAAGTTTAAGGCAGCAGTAAAATTTCGCCGTCCATGTTTGCGAAGCATGTCATGTAAATTTCAAACCTTATCTGTCTGAAATTTATTCACTACATGCCTGTGCTGATACACACCTTCAAGCCTTTACTTGCTACATCAACCCAAGGTGGGTTGTTGGAGGGCACCACAGGTAGGTCCTACATGTATTTACTTTTGCTCTGTTGCTTCCGTCTGTCTTACTCTCCCCCAGCACTAATAAATCGCAAGGTGCAAATACCGCATATCATTTAATATCACTATTATCACTAAATAGAGACAAAAATTTGCCTTGCAACACTGGTTTTGGTTTGTTCCTAACGGGGG